TTTTTTTTTTTTTAGAGAGAAATTTTTTTTTCAACTGTGCTTTTTTTTCTTTGAACTTTTCATTTTACCTCTAATCGTCATTTTTTTAATGACAGTAATTCTGGAAGCATTTTTTTCCCTTTTTCCTTTTTTTTTATGTTGCAGTGTTTTAAAATGGCGTATAGTTGTTGTTATTGTAGCTATTGTTGTTGTTTTAGTTTTTTTTTCCTTCATTTTTGTTGATACTACTACTACAGCTGCTATTGCTAATGATGTTTTTGTTTGTTGGTTTATTCCATAACTCATATATTTGAAAAGAAATTTTTTTTTTTTGAATTTTCAGATTCGTGTGGTTAAAGCCTTCCAAGCAGGTTTGGATCGTCGAGAGCCATCGCTTAGTGGTCCAAGCGCTGCTCGTTTACGTGAGATTAGCCGACAATTGAAATTACAAGTGGAACAGGAAGGAAAAGGTTTGTTTAAATTTCTTTTGTTATTAAATGGTTTTATACTTATATTTGTAACTACGGTTAATAATCATATATCATCATTTACTGTGATTCATTTATCTATCTATTTGATATTTCTAGATTGTTGATTACCAACTTCTATTTTCAATTAATTGTCGCTTCTTTTGATTCTCTTCGTAGTATTTTCATTTCAGGTATTGCGTCACGATCTGGTTCACGACAATTGAAACAAATGGAAGCGATGTCATCGGTGTAGAATGTAAAATGTCGTGCCGATATGATTTCAAATGTATGTTAAATAATTATATATCAAAGAAGATGGGCTTCATGTCGATCATTTGCTCCTCCATTTCCTCATCGTAACATTGTATTATCATTATTATTATTATTTATTTTTTTTTTTTAATAGACATTTCAATTTTATATGATTTATGCATATTTATATCTGTCTGGTATGTGTGTGTCTGTGTGTACGTGTGTATGGTGTGTGTGCGTGCGTGTGTGAGTGTGTGTATGTATTATTGTCAGCAAGTTTATTTGCCTTAAATCTCGATTGTAATTTATATTTCTGCTGCATCGTGCAATTATCTCCTCCTAACTCTGTTTCTTATCTTTCTTTTTTAGGTTTCAAGCTGAAATTGATGATAAATGGTAGATGATGATCTCTGAAATAGTTGTGCTCAATTTTCTTCCAAATTTTACCAACAACAATAGCATAAAGAAAAAAAGACACAATTTAATTTTACAATTTTAAGAGAGCACACTTGAGCATTTGTATCAGTGTGCCTTGATAATTCACCTCTTTGAATATATGAATGATTGTTGACCTTGTGTTGATTTGAAATTATCATAAATTATTTGTAAATGGAGAATTTTGCATTTAATTCAAACTTTCGATGGATTTTTTTTTCTTTTTTTGATGAACTTTTCATTTAACTGAATGAACGTGAATTTTCCTCGGATCACATTTCAGTAATTGTTTCTTACCAAAATATAATCGTTCTGTTAATGCCATAACAAGTTTAATAGTACTAAAGAATTTTAAGCATTTTTCAAAATTATAACTGTAGAGGATAAATGATCATTTATGAGATGAGTTTCCTGGAGTTGTATTGGTTTCTTTAATTTTTCTGGATGATTTTAAACTTATATTTTATCATTTCCATCTTTTATCTTTTATCATCCTTTCATTATATACGATGTGATAAGATTTCATCAATTCAAGTGTCCATCTGAGAAATGAAATTGCATTCTTTCAATCCCAAAATCCCAAAACTTTGATCTATCATTTTTATTGGTACGACTACATTTTAATGTTAATTTCGCTACTATGCTATTGTTTGCTTTAACAAACAATTAGCATACATATTCTTTCTCTTTTCTTTCTTTTTTTTTTTCTTCTCGAACATTGAAGGAGCGTTTATATCTGATATAACATTATAATACATTTTGAAGGTATCAATTTTGATCATCGATATGTGCGCAAAATGATGATTTGCTTTATATTATCTGTTAACAATTATAGTAAAATGTTCCATCCATTCATTTATTCATGATGATAATGTTTGAATTAGATAGTATTATTGCTGCAATTGAATTTAAATACTTTTATTAATTTGAAGATGTTTT